TGCCATAAAAAAGAAGGAATTCTCATCATTTGTAGCAACCTGGATGGAAATGGAGAACATCATGCTGAGTGAAATAAGCCAGTCATTGAAAGAAAAACATCACATGACTTCACTCATTTGTGGATAATAAAGAACATTATAAACTGATGAACCAAAAGATAGATATAAAGATAGTATATCAACAAGCAGACTGTCAAATTACAGCGGGGAGGGGAGGAAGATCTGGGGGAGATAATAGATCAATCGAAGGACTTTTATACATGCACATAAGTACAACCATTGGACATAAAACTCTGGGGAGGGAGGGGATGTGAGGGAGGGAGGGGGGGCAAAAAAAAAATCAAAAAAATATATATATATTTAAAAAAAAAAAAAAGACTGAAGAAAGGACCTCTTTTCCACTATTTTGAATGCTTAATAGCTAATTTCATAACATCACATGTACCATTTTAAGAAAGTGATGATTTAGTGGGAAATTAATGCTTTGCATCTGTATACTGTAAATATAAATGACGATTTATTTGAAATGTGTAACTGGGATATGCAAAAGATAATAACTCACAATGTTAATATTAAATATTCCTTCAAAAAAAATAAATAAATAAATTAAAAAAAAAATAAAAAAAATAAAAAAAAAAATAAAACTTCCGAGTGATTTTATATCAGACCACTGCTCTGGATTAAATCACATTCCAAAATGGGGTAAGTCAAGAATACTGGGTCTGGCCAAAACCGGTTTGGCTCAATGGATAGAGCATAGGTCTGCGGACTGAAGGGTCCCAGGTTCAATTCCGGTCAAGGGCATGTACATTGGTTGCGGGCACATCCCCAGTAGAGGGTGTGCAGGAGGCAGCTGGTCGATGTTTCTCTCTCATTGATGTTTCTAGCTTTCTATCCCTCTCCCTTCCTCTCTATAAAAAAATCAATAAAATATATTAAAAAAAAAAAAGAATACTGGGTCTGAATTCAAACACCCAGGACCAAAACACACCTCCTTTACTAACTCACTGCATGTCCTTGTACAAAGGGACAATTTTACCGAGCCTACTTCCTTATCTGGAAATTAAAAAAAAATACTTACCTCACAGGATAATTGTGAGACCTAAATGAGATTGTTTATAAAATATTTGGCATAATTTCTAACATCAACAAGTAAGCACTGTGTTACCATCATTAGCATCTTTGTTTCCAACATTTTAAAGTAATCTTGGTATTTCTCTCAATCCTAAAATACATACTTCACCTAATCTAAAACTTTTGAAGAACTTCTTAGAGCCCTGGCCAGTGTGGCTCAGTTAGTTGGGCATTATCCTGTGCCAAAAGGCTGCCCGTCCAATTCCTAGTCAGGACACATGCCCAGGTTTCAGGCTCAGTCTCAGGTAGGGGAAGTACAGGAGGCAGTCAATGGATGTTTCACTCTCACATCAGTGTTTCTCACTCCCTCTCCCTTCTTCTCTCTAAAACACACACACACACACACACACACACACACACAATTCAAAAATAAAATAAAGAGCTTCTTAGACATATACATGCCTAGCCTCACCCTAATGACTGTGATGTGTTAAGTCTGGGATGAGCACAGTTTTGGGAACCACACTCCTCTAGGAACATGTGTGGCAGAACATGACTATAACCAGAGCCCACAAGAACTCCTAAGATAAACTGAATAGCTCCTTCTAATTTCAAATGACAAGTAGTATTCTACCTTTAGACTAGTGTAATAAATTCAGAACAAGGTTTGCTTTGTTTGAAAAGAAAAATGGCATCCCCTATACCCAACTCTCCCAATAATAAATACAGATTTAGTCTTTATTGTATTTTCTCAAAAGTTAAGACCAAAATACAGTTGCTTCTTTAAAAAAAAAAAAATTTATTAATTTTAGAAAGAGATTGAGAGACAGAAGACATTGATGTGAGAAACATCGACTGGTTGCCTCCCACATGCGCCCCAACCAGGGATTAAACCCACATCCTGAATGTGGGAATCAAACTGGTGACCTTTTGGTGCACAAGACAACACTCAACCAACTGAGGCACATCAGCCAGGCCAATGTTGCCTCTTGAACAACATGCGGGAGTGGGGGATGAGGGTTGGGTGACGCTGACCCCCATGCAGTCAAAAATCCATATAACTTGACTCCTCAAAAACATAAGTTATCCTACATTATCTAAGAGGGAATGGTTCTAAGACCTCCCCCTCCGGATGCCAAAATGTGAGAATGCTCAAGACCCCGGTGTAAAATGGCACAGATCAATGAATACACAGGTCAGTCTTCTGCATCTGACAAGTATTTCTGGAAAAAATCCTCCCGTAAGTGGACCCATGCAGTCCAAGCCCGTGTTGTTCCAGAATCAACTGTATATTCTTAGAGGGTTCAGCAGTATGACATGACATGCTGCCTGCCTCTCCCTCTAACAGATGCATTCTGGCATAGTACAGAAAGAGCAAATGGGAGGAACAATACTTCAGAGGTCTCTACCTGACAGCACCAAACGGTAGACAAGAAAAATAAATAAATCCTACAACATGAGTATTTGTCTTAGATCCTAAAAGCAGTTTCAAAACCACCTTATATAATGCTACCCCACGCCCAATACTGTCTACTAAACCACTGTTTTTCAGAGTGGACTTTGAGTGACCTGTTTCTGAATGATATTGATAGGAGCTTCTTAGAACCTAAGATTTGGATTCAAAAAAAGAAAACTGGCCGAAACCAGTTTGGCTCAGTGGTAGAGCATCGGTCTGCGGACTGAAAGGTCCCGGGTTCGATTCCGGTAAAGGGCATGTACCTTAGTTGCGGGCACATCCCCGGTAGGGGGTGTGCAAGAGGCAGCTGGTGGATGTTTCTCTCTCATGGACGTTTCTAGCTCTCTATCTCTCTCCCTTCCTCTCTGTAAAAAAATCAATAAAATATATATATTTTTTTTTTTTAAAAACTGAACCCAAGGAATCTGCATTTTTAATTCCCCTGGTCATTTTTTATGGGGAATTAAAAATGGAAGTACGCTATAACTAGAAATTTTCACCTCAAGTAAGAAAACATTGATCACAGATCACGATTATTCTTGCTCTTAGAGTAATGAAAAAATAGCTACTAAATCTGAGATCATGGAGGTCAAGAAAAGATGCTATGGAGCTAAAATACTTGAGTTTAGATTTCTGTTCACTAGCCATTTGACACCAGTTTTCTCATCTGTAAAATGGAATACTACCACCTACCTCAGAGTTGCAAGGGCTACTGAGTTATTAAAACTCTCAGAAGAGTGTCTGAAAATTTTTTTAATTAAAAGATAAAGTTTTTAGCCAAAATCTGTTTGGCTCAGTGGATAGAGTGTCAGTCAGCCTGTGGACTGAAGGGTCCCGGGTTCAATTGGGTTCGATTCCAGTCAAGGGCATGTCCCCAGTAGGGACGTGCAAGAGGCAGCTGATCGATGACTTTCTAACTATCCCTCTTCCTTCTTCTCTGTAAAAAAATTAATAAAATATATTTTTTTTAAATAAATCGTTTTTACAGTGCCTGACCCATGCAACACTCAAAAAATACTTACTTAGAATCCTTGTGGCCAATGGCCACAAACAGCTATCTATATGGCTATGATTCTTACTTGCTGGATCTCTGGAATTTGCATCCATATCCAATGATACACAAAACCATTAGGAGTCGAATATTTTATATAAACTGCTTAAAAATAAGGTGTTCCTCAAAACACAAATTGACTCTAAAATAAATTGACTCTAAAAATGGTAAATAAATTTACTCCAGGTAAATTCACTCTAAAAATGGCAAAGGTTGAAAGCAGATGTGTTCCAAATCTCTTTAAGAGGATAGGAAAAGACAAAATAACTGAAAACTCCCCCAAACTCTTCATAGCAAATTAAGGCTACATTTAATCATCCAAATCATATTAAATTGAAAGTAAAGCAACTGGGTGGATGGACCAAGATACAAGACCACCCAATAAAAGCCTCACTCATCCTGCCACTTTCACTGTCATAATCTGCATTTGAACCAAGCTGATTTCCTGAAATAGGAATTTGGCTACAACAGTACGATAAAGGTCTAAGCATAGGTAAAATGCTACTATATTGTAATGCTCATATTAAGAGTATCAGGACAGTGTATACTTTCAACTGCAACCATGGTGCTAGACAGATGGCCTGAATTGAAGACGAATAATGGGGAGAAAATATTTGGGCTGGATCTGAACACAGGGAAAAGCAACGAATAATAAAACGGGAGGAAACGATTCTGTGGGAGGAGCGTGTGTAACTCCCAAAGGCGAGCTTAGGAAAATTAGAATCCCTCAAAACAAAAAACAAAAAGCAAAAAAGCCTTAATAATGCTCAGAATGCTTCAACCCTGAACTGTGAATATCGGCAAACAGATGTAAAGAATAGAGAGGAGATACCTGGGTGCAAGATGACCCGAATTCTCACGGGGGGGGGGGGGGGGGGGGGCGGGGGAGACACAGCCAAACCTTATTACACGGAATCCAGGTTTAGCCTTGCAGCAACTCAAGGGTCAATTAAGCATTTTCCATTAAAGGGCGAAATTTCCAGACAAAAAAAAAAAAAAAAAAAAAAAAGATTTAACGTCTTGGAGAGCAGCTCTTTGAAAACCCACAGCAGACAGACATTGGGGATCCAAAGGACTTGGGGGGAGGGGCGGCAGGGAAAATGAGTCCAAAGAAGCCTTCTCCAAGATAAAATCATCCGCCTCTCGGTCGGAGAATGCCCAAGGGGCTAAGAGGGAGGAAGGAAGGGTCTGGGAATGAGCCCTCCATCCGACAAGCAAGTGCCGCGCCCGAGGACCGAACCCCGAAGCCCCGGTTTGCAAAGGCCCCCAAGGCCTCCCACCCGCCATCTGCCCACGCACCCATCTGGGACCACCGTGCGGGGGCCCCGTCCCCGCGCCGCCGCGCGGGAAAAAACGGCGGCCCGCGAGCCGGGAGGGGGCAGGGCGAGCCGCGAGGGCGCCCCGCCGCCGGGCACTTACGCGGCCGCTTCTTCCTCAGGCTCTCCAGGCGCTGGCGGGAAGCCGCGGCGGCGCTGCTGTATCGGTCCCGCCTCGCTCCCTCCGCCGAGGTCCCGGCCGCGGAGACCGACGTGCTGTTCGCCCCGCGCCGCAGCGGCTCCTGCCCCCGCCCATCTGGCTCCTCGGGCGCCGGTTCCCCGGTGGACGGGGCGGAGGGAGCGGCGGCCCTGCCGGGGCGCTCCATGGGCGCACGCAGCCGGCCCGTTCCCATCCGCAGCAGCCGCTGCTGCCGCCCACGCCAGCCCCTCAGCGCCGGACCCCCGGTGGCCTCCTCGGCGAGTCCAGCCGGAGCAGAGGCGCACCCTCGGCCGGCCGCCTCTTCCGTTGCGACAACGCGCAGCAAGCCAATCCCAGCAGGCTGGGGGAAGCCCGAAGGCCTCGTGTCCAATCGGCTCCCTGACTCGAGACGGATTGACTGCACGTTCGTCCAATGAGAGGCTCTCAGGGCGGGGGCGGCGCAGGGGACCGGGGGTGGGGGTCCGGGATCGGCGGAGGAGGAAAAGGCGGTGTGGCTGACAGGGGAGTGTGATGGCGGCGGCGCCCTATGGACGCGTGGGTGGAGTGCCCCCCTCCACCCCGGGTGGAGAGGTGGGCGCCCCGGGAACCCAGAACTCTCCCGGGATGCCGCCGCGCGCTCCCACGCCAGGCAGTGCCCCGCGGCGTCTGTGGGCAGACGGAAGGGCTGGAACTGCGGCTGACTGGAGCCTTTGTCCCTCGCCAGGTTCCGCCGCGGCCGTGTGGGACCCCAGCCCCTCTGCGCTGTTTTTCCCTACCACCCTCACCCCCTGCACCCACCCTCACCCCCAGCACCGCCACTGGCTTGTTTGAGCTAAACCTCCTTCATTCATTCCGCCTGCGATGGAGGAATGTTCCCGGGACCAGAAGGAAGGATGGGATGGGGTTGGTTTCTATGACAACTGGGAGGAGCTGTCAATCCTTCGCCATTCTCCTGTAGTGGAGAGGATGTGGGAACCGGGAAGTATGGTTGTCCTTTTTAAGGAGAGTCTGGTCCCCCATTCTGATTAGTGCACTAGGTCACATAGAAAGATTTGGGGGCCGCCTTGGAGGAGGGGGAGAGGGTATTTTTTAACATCTTATTGCCTTCTCTCTTGGGGGCCAGAACATGGTCTCCTCCAGTATGGAGATCCCAACCTCTCACATCTACCAAAGGCCCTTCCAAGTGCTCCTCCTTGCAGAGGTTACACAAGCCTGTTATGATCCTGCCCCCCCTTCCCCCCACTTTCAAGGCATTCCCTCACTCTGTCAAGTTTAACAGGACTGTGGGTTTATCTTACTTGCTAATCTATAATACACTAATAAAAGATACATGCAAATTGACTATACCTCCATATACCCTCCAGCCAGTCAGGAGGGAGTATGCAAATTAACCCAAAATATGGTAGTTTAATTTGCATACACAGGTATGGAGCAAAGACTGAAGAGGCTTGGCTTACACTGTGGCGGGAGCAGAGAAGCCAAGCCTCGCTGCGGCTGGAGTGAAGACCTGGGTCCTGGGTGCCAGAGGAAAACCAGTGCCCACAGTCAGGGGAAGGAAGGCCTATTGCATGAATCTTCATGCAACGGGCCTCTACCTATTTCATAAGTACCACCCCTAGGAGATTTTATTGGCTCTTGGTTGATTGTTCTTATTTTCCCATAATGACTGCTAGTAGCAGACTGAACAAGAAAGATGAGCTTTTCTCTTGTGGGTTGAGTAGAATTACCATATTCACTGCAAATTTTCTTCCCTCACTGTAGGAATAACTGGAACCCCAGTTTCCTAACTCTAGAAATTCCAGTTCCTCAGGAAGCTCAGGTTTCGGGTTCAATCCCCAGTATGGAGCATGCAAGAAGCACCCAATCAATGATTCTTATCATTGATGTTTCTCTATCCCTCTCCCTTCCTCTATGAAATCAATAAAAAATAAACATTTTAAAAAAATAAAGTTTTTTCTCAATGCAAATAAATTGAGCAAAAGAAGCCAGACACAAAAGAATGTATCCTATGTGATTCCATTTATTTGAAGGCCAACATTCATAAAGGATATTGCAATGATTCTCATCGTCAGTGTTTCTATACCTCTCTGAAATCAATAAAAAATATATTTAAAAAATAAAAATAACCCTAGCTGGTTTGGCTCTGTGGGTGGAGCGTCAGCCTGAGGGTCCTGGGTTGGATTCCGGTCAGAGGCACATGCCTGAGTTTCCGGCTCGGTCTCCCCAGTGGGGGGTGTGCAGGAGACAGCTGATCGATGATTCTCATCATTGATGTTTCTATCTCTCCCTCTTCCTTCTTCTCTAAAATCAATAAAATATTTTTAATTTTTTTAAAAATATATTTTATTGATTTTATACAGAGAGGAAGGGAGAAAGATAGAGTTAGAAACATCGATGAGAGAGAGTCATCGATCAGCTGCCTCTTGCACACCCCCTATTGGGGATATGCCCGCAACCAAGGTACTTGTCCTTGACCGGAATCGAACCCAGGACCTTTTAGTCCGCAGGCCGACACTCTATCCACTGAGCCAAACCGGTTTCGGCCTTTTTATTTTTATTTTTTAAAAAAAATTAAAAATATTGCCGAAACCGGTTTGGCTCAATGGATAGAGCGTCGGCCTGGGGACTGAAAGGTCCTGGGTTCGATTCCGGTCAAGGACACGTACCTTGGTTGCGGGCGCATCCCAGTGGGGGGTGTTCAAGAGGCAGCTGGTCGATGTATCTCTCTCATCGATGTTTCTAACTATCCCTCTCAATTCCTCTCTATGTAAGAATCAATAAAATATATTTTAAAATAAATAAATAAATAATATTAGAAGTCAGGATAATGGTTGCTCTTGGGGAAAGGGGAGAAAGTACTGATAAGAAGGTAGCAGGTAGGCTTATAGACGTTAGTAATGTTTAGTTTCTTTGGTATGGAGGTGGTTATGTGGGTATGTTTGCTCTGTAGTATTTCATTAAGATGTTCACTTGATGTGTACAGTTTTCTTGTATGTATATTATGCTTAAAGAAAACTTTTTTACAAGAGAAATTGAAGATTTGCCTTGGAGCAAAGTAAATCCATGACTAAGCTTAGGTTATGTGTGTTTGTTTTATCAAAGCCTCTAAATGAAATTAGCAATCAAGAGGTTTCCTTTTCTGTGGGTATTATAGTAGTTTATCTTTTTTATATGTTTTCATTGATTTTTAGAGAGAGGAAGGGAGCGAGAGATAGAAGCATCAATGAGAAACATTGATCAGCTGCCTCTTCACATGCTGGATCAAACCTGAAACCCAGGCATGTGCCCTGACCAGGAAAATGAAGAAGGATAGAGCCGAAACTGGTTTGGCTCAGTGGTGGAGCGTCTGTCTGTGGACTGAAGGGTCCCAGGTTCGATTCTGGTTGGGGGCATGTACATCAGTTTCGGGCATATCCCCAGTGGGGGGTGTGCAGGAGGCAGCTGGTCGATGTTTCTCTCTCATCAACGTTTCTAGCTCTCTCTCTCCCTTCCTCTCTGTAAGATATCAATATTTAAAAAAAAAAAAAAAAAAAGAACCAAATATCCAACATTAAAAAAAAAATGAAGAAGGATAGAAATAATGGTGTGTGTGTGTGTGTGTGTGTGTGTGTGTGTGTGTGTGTGTGTGTGTAACTAGCATGTGGCTTTCTGATGGCCTCACCAGAGCTCACAGGCAATATAAAAGTACTATTATTGCCTGCTTTCCCAAATAAGTTCAACTTTTCTCAGAAGAATAAAGAAAGAAAATTCAAGATGAAATAACAAGTTTAGACCTCAGAGTTTCCTAGATATGGAAAATGCTATTCCTTCCCAAGTATGGAAAGGACTGAAATTTTCTCTTAATTTTCAAGAAAAAAGCCTATCTTTGACTAAATATCCCTGACTTGAATACTATTACTAGGTAACCACTAATAGTTTTGCACTTTAATAATTGTTAGAAAAGCAATGTCTGCTCAAATAAGCTTGGGAAAGAAGAGATAAAGTTTCGAGCAATTTTTTTAGTATATTTTTATTGATTTCAGAGAGGAAGGCAGAAAGAAACATCAATGATGAGAATCATTGATTGGATGCCTCCTGCACACCCCCTACTGGGGATTGAGCCAGCAATCAGGGCATGTGCCCTTGATGGGAATCAAACCTGGGACCCTTTAGGAAGCAGGCCAATGCTCTATCCACTAAGCCTGTGGTCCACAAACTTCGGCTCACAAGCCACTCTTTGGCTCCTTGAGTGTGGCTCTTCCACAAAATACCACGGCCTGGGCGAATCTATTTTGAAGAAGTGGTGTTAGAAGAAGTTTAAGTTTAAAAAAATTTGGCTCTCTGTAAAAAATCAATAAAATATATTTTTAAAAAATAAAAATAAAAAATTTGTCTCTCAAAAGAAATTTCAATCATTGTACTGTTGATATTTGGCTCTGTTGACTAATGAGTTTGCCGACCACTGCACTAAGCCAAACCAGCTAGGGCTAGAGCAATTTCTTAAAGCTTTTAATATGCTGAAGGCCATGTTGAATCTTCAAGAAGAAACAGATATGTAGTTATCTTCCAAATGTAACTGACCATGGAATTAGTCCGTTACATTTGGAAGATAACTTTTTTATAGAATTTGTTCCTCAGATACTGTGCAAAATTCATCTCTGTGTATAAAAATCACTTGCATCTCTGTTATATTAACAGCAATGAAGATATAATTCTTTCAATTTTGAAAGCTTGATAGCTAATATTTCACTCCTAAATAAACATTTTGTAAAAGCATCTGCTTTCTGAAAACCGGTTTGTCCTCTTTTCCTTTAAACAGATCCTCTTTCCTTAGTTCTGTTAATAGTATTACTGTTGCTATTGCCCTGGGTAACTTGATTCTTCCTTCTCATTTGCCCATCTCTCCTCTAACTGCAATTCCATGAGTCATTTCTACAAGTGGGACCAAGCATCAGTAGTGTTTAATAATCTACAGGTGATTCCAATGTGAAGTTAAGGTTGAGATCCAGTGTTCAGGCTGGCCTTTCTTTAGCATAATTAGTACCCTATTTCCCCGAAAATAAGATAGTGTCTTATATTAATTTTTTCTCCCAAAGTTGCCCTAGGTCTTATTTTCAGGGGATGTCTTATCTTTCCATGCGCTAGGTCTTATTTTCGGAGGATGTCTTATTTTCAGGGAAACACGGGGAGTTTGTAAAAAATACAGAA